AAAAGCTACAGAGTTTCATGGTGCTTACTGTGTTCTAATAGTTTCATTCTCTAATCTGGTGAACAGAGACAACTTTGTAAAGTCCTGAGACATGTATTTGTCGACTCACATCACTCTCATGTTATTCTTGGGCTCCAGTGGGATTTCTAGTACTTTGGTCCCGTAGACCGCGCTCTCCTCACAGCGGCTGCTGGAGGCCGTCTTCCCTGTGACTCTGTGAACCTGGTAGAAAGAGTGAGGCTTCATCTGCCGCTCGTCTGCAGTTCCAATGAAAACCTGCAGGCGGAGCGAAGAGGAGCCATGGTACCCCAAGAGCTGGTTGAGAAGAGAAGACAGAAAACATATATCACAATCCGAATCATTAAATCTACAAATCTACAAACTAGAAATAAGCTTTGTAATATTGCATAAGCAAAGTCTTTATGATAAAATGATCATAATGTGTTTTTAAAAGAATAGTTAAGCTTTTCCTCCTGGCCAATGACAAAATGAAAACACTTTGAAAAGTAAGGGCGGCACGGTGGCTGAGTGGTTGGCACTCTCACTTCTCAGCAAGAAGGTTTTGGGTTCAAATCCCGGTAGTAACAGGGCCTTTCTAAGTGGAGTTTGCATATTCTCCTGGTGTCTGCGTAGGTTTCCTCCGGGTACTCCGGTTTCCCCTACCACTAAAAACACGTGCAATAGTTCAGGGTGAATGAGTGTGTGTTTGTGAGTGCGAATGTGGGACAACGAATGCAAATTAGCCCATGGCTACAATCTGGAGTGATGTGTTCATTAACATGTACTGTCACAGCCAAATAAACAATACAATAATAATAAAAAAGAGGATTTTTTTTGTTGTCAGAAAAGTCACATTGCCGAAATGCCCTCCATGAAGCAGCAGATAATCGCATTGTGGTTTTAAACAGGAAGTCTGTGTCTATTTATAACAGACACATTGCTTCTGTTTTCTGTTTGCGCTAAACAATTGAATTCACAGTAATATTTATACGAGATTATTTTCATAATATTTCGAGTTAATTCTTAAAACCGTACTAGATTAATCTGGTAATATTAGGAGCATAAACCTCAACATAAAAGATAAAGCAGAGCAGAGGTCTCCCATCGTAGCACTAATCAGGCCCTGCCCTGCTTAGTTTTCTAGCACAGAGGGGATCAGGATCTCACATAACACCACCATAGATGAATACTACGCTACTGGATGAATAGTCTGCAGGTACGAAGGTTGTGTTTCAGTTGTTTCTTTTGGTATTGGCCCTATACCAAAAAAAATCTATGCAAATAGTTCCTTCTGACAATACACTGCTCAATCCAACCAATATATATCGGCCAATCCGACAAATTAGATTAATTGGCCCACAATCAACAGATTGGTACATCCGTCAACAATATAATCTAGCAAATATTGCCTTAACCAATTAGATTGGTATCGTAGTTGTTTAGAATGTGTCTGAGCGTTCCTGACCTGCACTTGTGGATGTCCTCCGCTGGCCGTCTTCACTGCCCCCCTGCTCCCCTCGGTCTCATAGTGCGCTCGATGGAAGGCTCTGGGCTGCTGCTGAATCTGCAACTTGTACTGACCCACCTCAGAGGGCAGCTGCCACTCCAGAGAGGGCAGGGCAGCCATGGACACACTGGACGCCAAACACAAGAAGCCAAACATGTATTATCATTTAAAATACTGTAGAATCACATTACGAAACAACGACCATATGTGATGATGGAAAGTCAGCAAACCTAAAAGCTCCATGATGAGTGGGAGCAGGCCACACATTTGGTATAATATAGAAGGCCTCAGACGTGACCTACAGAGCAATAAGACAATGACATCAGGAACACAACACAAATTAAAGTAAGTGTCAATCTGAATCATCCACCCAAAATGAGACAATGTCTTGCATTGTATTGAATGTATTTGAAAAGTGTCATCTCACTTTCCTCACCAAGAACACAGATTCCTTATTTCAGAATAGTATCATTTGTACCCAATTTGCACATTCAAACTCAATGGGGATCTAAAATCACAAGATATAAGAATGTCCAGCAATACTCACAATTCTTTGTTCAACAAAGACTTTTCTCAGCTTTGACTAGTCTACACAATGTGCAAGAAAAGGTTGTTTTGACTGTTCTGCTGTTTTTTTCCATCCGTATAAAAAAAGGTTACAAAAAGTGTAAACTTTGTGTAATTTATTTATGCCTACAAATACTTCACAACCAGATATGTAAAACTATGAACACAGTGGCAATTCATCATCAAATCATGAATAGTCCCACAGTCTGATCTGATAATGCACATGTTCTCACCTCAGCTCTAACGTCCTTCTCCGGCTGCTGCACTTTCCCCTGTCCCCATAGACACAGTCCTGTCTCGGGGCCGACCTGTGTGCAGCCTGCGCCCCCACTGAAGGCATCACCGCTGCATTTAGGCCGCTCAACAGGCCGCTCAGCACAGGGGTGGGGCTGTGGTGTTGGTGGAGGTAATGAGACCTCTGCGGCTCATTCGGAGACGGGACAGGGCTGGGGCTCGGGCTCCGTGAGCGTTGTTTGGCCGGCGTGGGTCCGGTACACGAGTGGAGTTGGTGGTAGGATCGCTTTCCCTGTGGAGAGAGGGAGCGGGAGCGCTGGTGCGGCTGGCTCAGCTTTGTGGGGACAGTGGGCTGGTGGGGCAGGAGGAAGGTCTCATACGGGACATTGCTGTGGGGCGACCCACCTGGAGTAGAGTGTGTGGAGGATGTGTGGAATGCCCGAAGTCCCGGGCAGAGATCCAGAGCTGATAAGCTGTAGCCTGCAAATTAAATACCGTTTTACATGATCTGAACGCACTACCGTAAACTACACAAACTATGTCTGCTTCATCCAATCCATTGTTCCAGAGAGAAAGAGAATACAAAATAAACAGAAAGACACAGTTGTCTTTCTGTTTATTTTGTATTCTCTTTTTGTTGACAGTTTGAAAAAACTATAGATAGATATAGATAATATTAGATGGATGGATTGATATAATTCTGAATTGTAATCATTTTGGGAGCAAATTCACTGTTTCTGGCTATTCGGTCTTGACGGCTGCACCTTTGTAGATGAGAATTGTTATACCTTATTTATTATTGTTGTCTGAATAACTATTGTTTTTTTGCACATCATCATAATGAAATATTGTGTTTGCCAATCCTGGAATGTCCATGTTTTATAATCGTGCAATCCCCTTTACAGAAAAGCAGCCAAAAACTATAGTTTTTGAAATGCATTATTTTTGATGAGACCAAAATATAACTTTTTGGTAAAAACTTTAGAGTTGTCTATGGAGGGGAAAGAATACTGAGTTGTAGCACCAAAAGAACACCATACCCACTGTGATGCATGGAGATGGAAACAGCATAATTTGGGTCTGCTTTCCAGTAGAGAGTATAGAGCAACTGATCTGACATCAATACAATACAATACAATACATTCTTGGACATCAATACAATACAATACAATACATTCTATGTAAATTATGAATATGTTCATTTCTGGATATTTTTTCAGATTCTGTCACTCACAAAGTGTTCTTAGATTTGTTGTTTTTTATTATCATTAATTACAGCAAGTTGCAGAATCACTTGTAATAAAAGTTTTGTCCATTCTTTAAGTATCCGGATCAAAATCGGCTCTGCTTCTATCCGTATTGTCTTAACTTACCTCCGCTGTTGCATGGAGAGGCACAGGGGGAGACCAGGGGGGAGCAGTTTTCAGAGGGCCACCCTGTAGACGAGTTACTGCTGCCTGGACTGGAGCACTCTCTGTACACTCCTAGAGCTGTGGGGCCCTGGGGCTGGGTGTGCGGGTGAGAGCTGAGCGAGTCTCCAGAAGGCGTAATCTCGATCCTAGGACTTGGGGCTGGGATGAGGCTGGAGCGGGAGGAGAGGCCGGGTGAAATGAAATGTGTGTGGAGGTCAGCAGTGGGTTCCTGGTGTGTTCGGTGGGCAGCAGTGGGGTCCTGACCGGGTTCTGGTGGTGAGGAGTAGTGGCGTATACTGGGACAGTCCACCTCCAACATCGGGGGGTGTGAGTTTGGGAGGAGGCCATGGAGGTCATCTGTTAATAGAATCAGTTAACTAATAAGCAGGTAGCATGTGTACATGTTTTATAATTCCCAGAATAAGGACATGCCTAAAGGACTTGGTCGGCTTTCCAAGTAACTTTTCAGATACAAGATTAGATTAGATGATAGCACACATATATCATTTTGGCGGAAAGCCTATTTCTACATGATGTAAACCGACTTTGTCATCGATGTAGTGTCAAAGTTCTCAGTCACTAACTAATTAATTTACTGTAATATAAATTCTATATCACAGAAGTAGGCTGTTTGTTCAGGAACATTTCACTCAAATTAAAATCAAGTTGAATTTTAGTCGCACAATTGACATGAAGTTTGTCCCCCGACTTATACTGTTGTTAGGGCAAAACAAGAAAAAATTGAATTGCAGCTTTCAGAGACTGTAGACACTTAAGTTTTAAAATTACACATTGTTTACATACTGCCTGCTATTTCACCAAGTCGAAGCTTATTCAAAGATGATATCAGAGGCCTTACCATCATGATGACATAGAAACAGATCTGAAAAGTCCAGCTCCTGTTCGTTTATGTCCTGGTGCGGGTGTTCTGAGAGACCAGGAGCATCCATCCCAGTCACAACACTATTACCTCTACAGTGTACTACAGTATGGGCGTGAAGATGTAGTGTTGAAATCAAACTCTGGCTTCCTGTCTGTGAGGGGGAGGACAGCATTCACACAACTATTTCCCCAATCAAGACTTTGTTTCTGACAGTGATTGTTATTCATATTTATTAATGTTTATTTTATTATTTGAAGCATTATTTTATGAATTAAGCATTGAAGGAAGTAGTTTTACATATTTGAAAAAGGCAAGGTTAATAGGTGCATAGGTTAAAAGAACAATGTGGGCGCGCTTGGGTCTCGCCACAGTCTATGGTCTCGCCTATAGAAGAGCGCCATCTGGTGTACGATGGGTGGAATGAGTTGCGTTAATTAAATCTGCTCCGTGCTGTTTACCGTCTGTCCTTGAGAGCCCAAGCACTCAATTTTACCGCTTTATTTGTCCAGTTTTAACGAGTACAGAATGTGGATCAACATCAAACAGCTCGGGATCCATTGTTGTAAACTATTAATATACATATTTAGTCCCTACGTCTATGGTCTTCGCATAGGGCGAAGTGGGCGTCGGCAAAAGGATGACAAGCTACAAAGAAAGTACAGACGTCAAACATGATATGAACACCATGCAAAATGATGGACCTTTATTATTTGCTATTTTAAGCATTTAGCTCGTGGTGAAGGAGTGAAAAGGCTGGGTGTGATAAATAATTCCTTCACATCTAATCAGATTAATAGGCATGATTAATTCGTCTGTAAAGTAAGTACTATACCTGTACGGCCGCACCTGAAGATTACAGGGTATTTACATACAGTGACATGGGAATATGTTTCATTGAAATATTATTCTGTTAGTATCAGTTTTTTAAATTTGAAAAGATTTATTTGACACCAGTAGATTTTATTTTGAAGGACTGTTCGGAAGTGAGTCTGTGGTCCAGGCTTTTCTAAAGTGCTTGACAGAAATTACGCGCATAACTCATGGATCTGTAAGGCATATCTGAGTGTTTCTGTCCTAAACCTGCACCTCGGGGCAGTAATGGAGGAAAAAGACGAGGATCTCGGTAAGTGACATTATTGAAGTTACTAAAACACTTCCTCACGGACTTTACGCACGTCCAGTCTGCAACAAGTTTGTGGAACAGAGAAGTGCAGGAGTTTGAGGTCATGTTACAGAGGTTCCGCCCGAATATTGTAAACATGAAGTGAAGTTTGACACATATATTATATTATACTAATATATTTGCCAACATGTAGTGTCATATCCTCTCTTAGGCTCGATGATATGTGCATTTGTTACAGGTACAAAGATACATATGATGTTTCACATGTTACAGGTCTTAGCAGCGGATCCACAGACTATAGAAACACAATGTACTCTTTTTATTTTGTTATTAATGCAATAGTGAGACATTGCAAATGCAATGTGACCTTTGAAGCCAAAAAGAATAATCTGTGAGTGGGTGCATCTCCATAGATCTGACTTGGCCTTGTTTGTTTCAATGTTGTCCTTTTTCACCTTAATGAATGACTACAATCTTCAGTATTTAAATTTAATGATGTGAATGTTTGGCATGAAGAGATCTTCATAATTATAGTTATGTATTCATTTTATTTTCTTTCTTTTGCACATGTTTCTTTTTCACAGATTTATTGCAGAATAAGTAAAATGTTAAGGTTTGACGTCTCAGGATCCTGTTTAAACAGTTCTGTTCATCTGTTTGTTTGTTGCTCATTCATAATCACAACGTGAATTTTATGTATTCACTTCAAAGACTTTTTGTAAAGTGGTTTAGTGCTGTATAACACTGTAGTTTTAGTGAGAATACTTACAGCGATTCTTTCTTTAATTTAAGGAGAAATCCTATGCTGAAATAGTGATATGTTATGTTTCAGACCGCCAACGCTGTAATGTCATTCGAGCTTTGGGGGGATTTCAACAGGATTTTGCATGTCAATTTAATCCTTCAGTCTTCGATGAGTGGCCCTTTGTTGATGAAACCTTTCTGTGGCCTTCCAAAGTCATTTTTGATTTGATTTCAAAATGCTATAGTACTTGACAAATTGACTTTCAGTCTCTCCCCTGCTGTTGTATTTTCGTCCTAATGAGTCTCGATCTCACGAATGGCATTCTTGCAGGGGTCCATCTGGGTTCAGATCTTATGGGGAAACACCTTCTCGCTTATATTTTTATCCCTTGGTCAAACGCATTGTGTACTCTGTGACATAATCTGTTTCTCTGTAGTATTTTTATCAGCAGACAGCAGGACTGAAGCGAACCGAGTGGAAAACATGGGCCTGAGCTCTTGTTTGTGTCTCTATCAAGAGGCTATTGTTAAATTGCCACAATTCAAAAAGTACTATTCCCAAAGGAGAGATTGTTCATCAAGTGTAGAAGGTCAAAGTAAATCAGACGATCAAAGATAAGCGGTGTGTTCATGGTTTTAGCTGAAGTATATAAACTTCATGTCAAAATACAACACATGATTACTAGTACAAGCCGGTCTGTCATATCTACAGGTTATTGCTTATATTTATTGTATCTAGTTTTTACACCAATAGTAGACCCTGATATCTTATTAATACAAGCAGCCACAACCGTGTATGTCTTGCTGAACCCTTGCATCAGGTTGCAAAAATGGGTTACACTTACACTGAATTTGCGTCATGCCATTTGTAAAGAATCTGTTTGGATTTTGATTCATGAACCAGTTCCATTGGACTTCCCCAGATATCTGCTGTTGTGGCCCGTTTCCTGGTATGAGCCCTGGTATGCATGTGTTCTCTTCCGGACCGACATTACACTGTCCATAGTCTTCTGCCCTATGTTGAGTTTTGGCGGATTACATTCAGTTTACTAACTCTGCAAGCTAAACTTAATGTGACAGCGCCGCTCGGTCAAAAATACAAATTGCTAAAATGGCTGACTCCACGCTAATCTGTACAGCGCGTCAAATCTTACTTGTTTGTACCTCATAATTTTTTAACACTATGTAGTTTATAAATACTTACAGTTTATATTTTTTGTTTGCATTTTCTGTTCAGCCATTTTAGGTTTTAGAAAATAATCCGATAACTCCGGTGCACTCGCGAGAAACAGGAAGGAGGTAAACGCATCCCATTGGTTCGTTGGGTTATTTTTATCGGTCCGCTCCAAAATATTTTTTATTAATTTTTGGAGACTATAGGGATCTGGTCAATTCCATTACTATTTGAAAACACATGATAACTTGACCTTTAGAGTTTAGGGACGTGTTCCCACAATATTTAAAAAAATCTGTCTAGAAGAAATCCCTGACTGCATCTCTAATTTAATCATGTCAATGTGTCACTTTCTTCACTGGGCCTCTGTCGTTTGGCGTCTCAGCAGCACGGCAGTTCACAAAGAGCGGTGTATTTCCAGAAAACTCACAATGTAGATTATATTTGAGATGTCAGTGCACGTACAATACTTTGGGGATTCGAAACTTGATCAAATCCCCAAAGACAAAGTCACCTCCGTCATGAACAACACCTCCCACTGCACAGGACTGTAGAGGAGCTTCATCCCCACCGCTGTCAGACTGTACAATAAGTCACTTTTTATTGGACATAATATATCCTGCATTTAACATGTTTGCACACTTCTTTCTTTTGCACTTGAGTGATTCTGTCCATGCCAGATGTGACATGTACGTTTCTCCTGTGTGAGATCAATAAAGTCTATCTTATCTTGATTACTTCCATTACTTACTTACTTATCTTATCTTAATGAACTTTGAATCGTTCAAAGAGGATGTTGTTTTTCTGTACTGCCCAGCTTTACATATGGAAATAGTACGAAAATAAAAGCACTAGAATCATATGACTGAAGAAAAGTCGCCTTCTTTATGAGACGAGCATCAGCAGAGAACGCTTCACTTTGTCTCTGGAATTCTAAGAATGTGCCTTTTTAACGTTAAAAATATTTGGTCATGCATTTTAGAGATAAAAGTGGGTAATCCTCCAAATATTACACATGAATCATAATCCCTGCTCATACTCACAAACATCTTTGAAGTTTATAGTAGTAATTTATGAAAATATGTGTTATTTAATTAATTCTTTTTATGCATTTTTCTATTTTTATTACTTTTATAACTTGTTTGCACCAAGAGCCAAAGTTCCTAGTTAGTGACTTGTTGTTACTCACAATGCCAAAACAAATAATTCTGATTATTGTGAAACGACACTGGTAATTCATTATTGGTAATGTCATAAATAATGTTTTTAAATTCTGAGCTTTTTCTCAAGTGTTTGGAACCAATCGCTCATGAATGTGTTGCTTATTTGTGGATGTCTTGGAGCTGTGCCGGTCTCTGCTGATACTCCCCAAACGCACACAATATAATCATTGTGTGGTTAAGAGTTACTGATGTGTGATAATAATTGATGTGTTTTCTTCTTCTGTTTGACTCTATTCAGGACGATATCAAGTCAAAGATTTTAATCGCACACTACACTCGAGCACTGTCACTTGCAATTAAGCTTTTGTTGAATTGATTAATTGTTCAGTTTGTCAGTTTAGACCCAGATAAAGGCTCTGGAGGAAACTCTTTTAACCTTTTTTACAGAATCAATCATTTTATTGTCAGAAATGAAATATTTACGCACTTGAACGCCCTTGTATTGTTTTGTGCAATCACTTTCCGGTTTGTGTATTTGATAACATCTCTCAACAAATTGTAAAATTGTAAAAAAAAAAAAAAGCAGTTACATTGAAGACACAGCTCTTATTAATTTTGCTTGATAAATCAGGAACATATGACTGTATGTCATGCATTCTCAGAGAATAAGATTAAGAAGTGGTCGAGTCTGGTTTGGACCACAGGATTTTGTCTCTGCAGTTTGTAGACGATGTTGTCCTGTTGGCTTCAACAAACCAGGACCTCTTCCCAGCCGAGTGGGAAGCGGCTGGGATGAGGACCAGCACCTCCAAATCTGAGGCTATAGGCTTGACCAGAAAAGCTGGTCGCTCCCTTAGAGATGGGGTGAGGAGCTCAGTCACATGGTAGGAGCTCAGAGTAGAGCCGCTGGTTCTACTCTGAGCTCCTACCATGTGACTGAGCTCCTCACCCCATCTCTAAGGGGTGAGGAGCTCAGTCACATGGTAGGAGCTCAGAGTAGAGCCGCTGGTTCTCCTTGTCGAGAGAAGCCAGTTGAGATGGTGGTTTAAGAGCCCTTAGGTTACAGGCATGTCCCACCAGGAGGAGGCCGTGGGGAAGACCCATGGATCTTTAATAAAATTGGGGAAGACCCAGGACTATGTCTCCTATCTACCTTGGGAACGCCTCATGATTCCTCCAGATGAGCTGGATAGGAAAGTCTGAACGTCTCTGCTCAAACTGCTGCCCCGCAACCCGGGTATGGATAAAGTGGAAGAAAATGAATGGATAGTTTATCATTTAATTGCTAAAATATGTGTCAGTTATTGAAAAAATGTAGTTGCTATTCATTGATCAGTCACAGCCCTACACTAAAGTGGCTCATGTGATTTCTGGAACCCGCCACTCTCTAGCCAAGAGCTACTGCCTCTACCTCCAGACCTTTAGCCGATCAAATGGGGTCAGTTCTTTTGGATACTTGTGAGTATCTATTGTTGCCACGTAGGGTTCTTCAATATGATGCGGGACAAATGCCTTTTGCCCGTAAACCTGATCTAACCTATTTTAAACATCCAAAAGTCTGCTCCCACTGAGTATTGTTTTCATTTTCCTCTGCTGTGAACACGCAGTACCTCTAATGCCATGCGTTAAGCTTTGAAATGCTTAACGATGCATTTCAAAGATGTTTACAAGTTTGGCAGTTTTAGACAAACACACATGTATTAACATGCTTTAAACGGAACAATCAAAAATCAATAGGATCACACCACTGTCCAAAAACCCAGTTCTATCCTGTTCTAGTCCATTTTCATTTTTGTTTGAAGATGTTTCTATGGAAAGACTTTTTTGGAAGTTTGAAGTTATACAATTTTATTTTCACATGTTTTGGTTTTCCTTGTAGTGAAACGCCAACATAGGTTTAAACACACCTACCTATCCCGCCTATTGACCTTAAAATCTGACTGAATGTTTTGCAGGTGCCTTTGATCCAAACATTCCTGAAGAGGGACCATCAGCGCCCCCTCCTGGATGGCTGGATAATATTCACGGATACCAGGGTCACATAGGAGGTATTAGTACCATAATTCATAAATATTTTTTTTTCCATTAGCTAATGAGAAAGGATTTGAAACCAAAAAAAGTAATCTGTATTTTTTTTACCTTAATATATATATACTTTTTTTACATTCTCCAATCATACAAGCAGTAGAACATTTCAATTACATCATCTACAGCTATAAAACTGTTGTCCTGAATCAATTAGGAACATATGACTGTGTTTCAGGCATGTCTAGGGCATATCATGTATCACTAGAGTTATAGACAACATCAATTGAGCTCTTTTGTAGTAAACTGTAATCTTCCACTGATCCTTAGATGACAACCCACTGTACCCTCCGCCTCCTGCCTACAACCCTCAGCCCGAGCAGGACAGGAACACTCTGGTGCCCAATGTGCAGTAAGACCAATGACATTATGTGTTATCTGCAGTGACTTACTTCAAACAGCCAGGCACAAATCAACACTATACGCCAATTTTGGATGTGGAGGTCCACTGATTTATTTATGTATATTAATATAATTTGTTTAATGAGATATATTTGGGTTTCAAAATATAAAATTCATATTTCATGTGTGATAAACAGTGACTATGGTGAACCAAAACAAATACATTTTTGATGCGTTGTGGAGTCATTTCAAAAGTTTTTCTCCAGATATATCCTCATCATATCCCCAGGGTGCCCACCGTGTCAGAAGACGTGGCCAGAGAAGCTTTGGTGAAATTTGCTGAATCTAAATGGAAGTACAGCGCCAAACCGGCCCGCAACCTCACCTTCAAAGATCTCAAAGCCATCACCGTTTACAGAGTATGTGCATTTGTAACAATAGTCATGTGATAAAGTAACGATATCATAATGATTTGTTGTTTTCCCTCCCTCTCCTGTAGTACCGACTGGAGACCTACACAGAGACCAGGACCAGTGCCTGGCAGTTTGAGCCATTCAATGGTAAATGTTTATTGTATCACTACTGTATTTAGAGTCATGTTCTGATTTAAACCTTGACTATGGTGGATCTCAAAGTTCAACCATCTCTAAATGGCTGCTCTGCTGTTGGCAAAGGCTCCTATATTTCTCTCATAATTAGTTTTTTATGATGTGTTTGTGTTCTTTCACCGCTATGGTGGTTTAGTAATTGATAACTGTACACAAAGTGGGAAATCTGCAGCTGGAAATGAGACGGTAGAATAAACATGGCTTATTCACCAAACTGATAATAAGTATATTTTGCCATTTATTGAAAGACAGGAGTGACAAGTATAAGCAGAGCTCTGTAGTTAAATTATAATTAACTGTAGATTAACTTTATTATAAACAAATATTACTCCTCTTGAATTTCACTGAAATGAAAACTCCTCTACCTTAGTAACCATTTGGCTCACACTCACCATTTAGGTCTTGATAAAATAGTGGTCTTGGTAATCCTGAAAAAGCTTAAATCAACAGTATTTTGCCATACAAGTGACTTATTCAGCATTGGTCACCGTGTGCACTGACTCCTCACAGGACAAGTAGTGGATGGGCCTCAGTTCGGGGCCAGTCCTCCTCCGTGGGACATCCCGGTGTCACTACCGCAGAGGTTCACTGACATGGTGGTCAAGGTCCGCGTGCCACACTCCTCCTTTGTGAAGGTGAGAGGGACTGTAATGTTTGAGCTTGGGAATTGTTATTTTGATTCACATTATTACGTTTTTTTTTCATTATCAACATTTTTCAGAATTGCCATACGTGCCATGGATGTGGAAGAACTCGCTGTCGCCTGTGCTTTGGGAGAGGCATGGTTGGTTTGTACTGTATTGAATTTTGTTGCAATAAACTGCTATTATTGTGACTTAAATGCTGTAATATGTTATTTTTGTGTTTTTCTGTGTGTGTCAGAAACGCTGCACTTTTTGTCACGGTCACGGGCGATCTAGAAATAAGCGCTGTTCTTCTTGTGGGGGTCGAGGACGCAAAAGGTATCCTGCAATCGCGTTGGCCTTTGAACCTTAAGGTCCTGGGTTCTCTCTGTCTTGTGGTCTTGCGCAATAGTTCCCGTGTGTTCTACTTTCGCAAAAGGACAATCCCCACAAAATCTGATATATTCAACTCAATTCAATTACATTCAATGTATTCTTGTATCGTCCAAAATCACAACAGTAGTTATCTTTGAGGACTTTACACAACCAATCAGAGAAACTGTTGAAACACATGAAATAGAACAGAAAACACATTGGTATTGGTCCTTAAGGGGCAGCTGACCAATGTCCATAAGTGTTGATGAATGTCCATAAAAGTTGTTTAGTGTTGAGTGTCCTGGATCATCACCACTGTCCTTGTGTGTGTGTACACGATAAATACTCCCACAACTTTCAGTATATTAAACTTTGTAATCATAATCCAAATTCTAAGTATCAATAATAGACTTTTGAAGTCTTTGTGAACCATGACAACATTCGTTGCCATGACGCCATAGTCTCCTTTCCACTTAAGTCAGAGCAGCTGCCGCTATTTAGCAACAGAATGTAATTATATCTGTTGTGGGCAATTCCAATCTGTGATAAACTTATCCCAGCCTTGTGTTTGTATAAAGTTTAAGGCTCTGTAGATTTACAACATACATTTAATTTAAAATAACTGAATATCAATATACAAAGGCAAGATCATTTCAAGTGCCATATTAAAAGCTTGTGGAAAGAAGAGTTAATTTCAGGGATTAAACAATACTTGGGTGATGTAGGCCAGTCTGTAAAACCGAGCCTTAGAAATCAGGGTGTTATTTTTGACAAGGAAATGTCACTAGTTCAACACTGCAAACGGCTGACATCTGAGAAACATCTGAAACAAAAAATGGTGTCACAGAACGACTTGGAGCTCATAATTCATGCCTTTGTGTCTTCTCGTTTAGATTATTGTAACAGTTTATTTTCAAGTCTGAACCAGAAGGAGCTGTTGGTGCAAAACTCTGCAGCTCGGGTCCTCACACGCACAAACAGAAGGACTCGCATATCTCCGGTCCTTAAAGCTCTCCACTGGCTGCCTGTGTCCTACAGGATACATTTTAAAATATTGGTGCTGACGTTCAGAGCTCTGCATGGTCAGGCTCTCCCTCATATCAGCAATCTTACTCAGCCTTATACCCCCACTCGGGCCCTGAGGTCTGTGGATCAGAACCTGTTGATGGTCCCACGCACGGGCTTTCGGACCAGGGGAGACCGGTCCTTCCAGGCTGTTGCCCCTAAACTCTGGAACAATCTTCCGCTCTCTCTGATGGAGTCTGTTGATTGATTCAAAGTCAGCTAAAAACCTCTTTATTTGGGCAAGCTTTTACATCCTTTTCTTGCGGCTGTTTCAAACCTGTCACTGAGTTGTCCTGGCAATTATATTTTTTGTACGCACATTTTAAATTGTATTTTAAGTTTTTTTTAACCTGTTTTTACCGTAAAGCGCTTTGTGGCCTTGGTCTGTGAAAGGCGCTATAGATAAAGCTTACTTACTTACGATCAGAATTGTCCTGATCTTCACTCTCATTAACATTTGAAAATTGTCATGACGGAACTTTAAATACAATTCTCAAAACCCATCTGTTTCCCCTTGCCTTTCCTTAATCTTGCTCTTCTGTGTTTATTTGATATGTTTTGTAAAGCATCTTTGAGTGTCCGAAAAAGCATTATCTAAATGTGATTTATTATTATTATGTTTTAGGTTTTGGTGTTTATTTAGTCTGTTTTTAGTCTTCTTTAGCTCTTGTTTTCATGGTGCCTCTTCTCTGGTCTGCAGATGCCTGTCATGTCACGGACACGGCTTCAAAACCTGCAGCGTTTGTCACGGAAAACAGAACCTCATGCACTTCATTGAACTCACGATCACATGGTACACTTTTCTCTTGCAGGATCTGAGCCTACATTTGTGACTTAAATCCAGCTCATGCCTAATTTTCAAACTAAACTCTGTCAATGTATCCGTCTATGAGCAGGAAAAACAACATTGATAACTTTATTCCTGACCGCCAGCCTGAATTTCCTGATAAGAAGTTTGAGAAAGTGACCGGAGATCCTTTCTTTCAGGATGAGAATGTTCTGGTATAAAAATAACAACTTTTTTCTTTTAACTCGAATGAAAAATGATTCTAAAATAATAAAATATGGCTTATTATTTTCCTGCAGGTTTATCCAATCCAAGGTTTCCCTGATCAGGAAATTTGCGACGTCTCAAGAAAACTGATAAACGAACATTTGAATCGCTTCAGCACCACCAGCCGCATCTTCCAACAGGTATAAAACCACAATTGTATTTTTGTTCAAGACAAAAAGACGTATTTCATTCCAAAATGCTAAAGGATCAAAGGTTAGAAATGGCTTTTTTGTAAACCAATTATTAAGAACCAAAAATCGTGAGATTTGACCTTCTTTGCCCTGGCTTCCTGCTCCTTTTAGACTTGTGTTTCAGATGTTATTGTTATTGTTTTTAAAGCCTTGCATGGACTGGCCCCACAATGCACCTGGGACCTCATTCACATGTCCCCCCTCTACCCCCTGAGGTCCGAGGGCCAGCTCCATCTTGTGGACCCTAAGACGAGACTTAAACCCAGGGAGAACCAAGGCCTTTTCTGTGAGCGGCCCAAAGCATTGGAACACCAGTCGTACAAGCGTTACAATGTTCGTCTTGTCCTAAGATCCACTTCTATCCTTTAGGTTTTAGCACTGGGTTAGTTTTGTGGTCCTGTGTGTTTTAATTAACCTCAATGTTTGTTTTTATTTTATTTTTTATTTGGGTATGTATAATAGGGGTGTGAGTATGTACGTTTTACTTCTTCTGACTCTTTTTTCAAATTGATATTGAGTTATTTAATAATTGAAATGTATTTAAAATGAAATTTAAGTTATGTAATGAACTTTAAATGTTTTTATTTATTTTTATTCATTCATCATTGATATTTTATTCTTTTTAAAATTCATTTCAATAGTTGTATTTACTTCCGGCAACGGATGAAGCAGCAGCAGAAGATGGATGGTTGTATTTTAGCATATATATATATATATAAAGCTGGCAGTCTTAAATATGTTACTTTTGTCTCTGTGAAGCACTTATATAGCACATTTTATATTTATAACTACATTTGGATAACATTTCTCTGTGATAAATTGATCTTTTTAGATGATATGTGTGCGTTGTCCGTTCCAGCGTCAGACCATTGAGATGGTGCCGCTCACTCACGCACGCTACACCTACAGCGGGAAAGACTTCGATTTCTACGTTTACGGAGTGGAGAACCAAGTGCACGCTGCCAAATACCCCTCTGCATGCACCATTTTATAACACTACAATATCCAACAATACTACCTTATCATTAAGAGGAAACACTAACACTGTGCTCCAGACGCCTCAGTATGAATGGAATCCTGACTAAAGCCTGTTGTGTGTAATTGACAACTACTTTTTTATTTTCTTACTTATTTCTTATATCAATGTTTTTAGAACTAAGTATTTTAGTAGGTTGGAACATTTCAATATTATATTCTCAAACTGTTATGTTTTGATACCAAGTTTACACCATGCTTTGGATCTAAAAAATACAATTGAAGAGTCACATCTTTTCAACATTAAACCATGTACTGTTTCTTTAATGGACCATTTATGAATTTACATGAGAAATACTAACCAAAGAACTGTATGAATATCTATTTAAAGTCTATCTTATCTTATATAGCCGATATCTGTGTACACTCCATTGTAACTCTAATATAATGTGGGAGCGTGTTTATGTCCATGAAAGGGGAATTTTGTGGCCAGTAACATACGCTGTCATACATCATCATGTCTAAGACTATGTTGTTGAAATACTTGTGTCTATGTAATGTAAACCACACCAAAACATTATTTTCAGATGTCTCTTTTCTTCTTATATTCTCAGGTTTCTCTCCAATACCTTTTCTACCGGTGTTTTTGTAAAACAATTACTATTATACGATTATTTACATTGTTCAATGTATGTTTGTGTGTGTTTTATAGCTACCTCTGTCCATTTTAACAGTTATTTCAATGCGTTTCAAAAACCAACTGCTATTCTTCATATTAAAATATTCAATCAGCAGTTTACAATTAATTATTTCTATGGCTACATCCTTTCACACAAGTATGCAAACTAAAATGGAAAAAAAACAAATATGAATTCATGTTTATTTTAACTACAAACAACATATTTTAAATGCCTGATTTCTCACGATTATAATAAACCTCAATGTTGTCTATCCAAACTTGTACTTCACATCGTTGGCCACAGGAGGGCGCTGTGATAAAACAACATCAAATGCTTGGTGCGAGAAAAGCCTTTGGAAAAGCCTTTGGTACCTCAGCCATCCATGACTTTAGCAAACATGAAACCTGCTTCAGAGGTAATCGTATAAGGTCCAGGAAATATTAATGTTTAAACTGAATTTATATTATCGATATTTAAATAGTTAATTTGCAAAAACAGATAAGTGCCATTAGAAGAACATTTGAAAAGCTTATATTTTTGGTGTGAAAGTTCCGTTTCAGGACCATGGATCTTCAGTACACAGTGGTTTACATATATTCACACATATATATATATATATATATATACATACACATGCATACATTGCCCTTTACCAAGTCATTTTTCTGTGTTTTTGCATTTGTACTTTAGTGCTTAATGCATGTACTGGGTGCACTTCTGACTGCAACCCCTCCGACCCAGAAATGGATTAATGGGAAGAAAAGGATGGCTGGAAACAATGATGACTAAAGTGCGTTATTATTATAGATCCATGCTAAAGTGTCACCTCTTCTTGTGATAAAACTTTATTGATCTCACAATGGAGAAACTTAAATGTTCACATTTGGCATGAATAGAATCAGTAAGGTTTGGCAAAAAGACAAGAAGTGTTAAAACATGCTAAAAAAGTTTAAACAATAGTCTCTTTTGTGCAGGGGAAAAATACAAAATAAAATAAAAAGTAACTATATATATTTTTTTTTAACACTCAAAAGAACTAATAATTTAACCAGATAAATAATATAGCTTATCGTCTAAATTATGTTTGTTTTATTGTTTTTTTAAGATGTCCTTTGACTGGATTCTCGTCGGAGCGTGAGTGAGAGAGTTGTGACGTGACTGTGACAGGAGCGGAGAGGGAGAAGGGAGTGGTCCTTCTGCTGTGGGCACATGTCTGGTGTTTATATCGCAGAGGAAGACTTCAGGTGGAGTTCTAGCTTTGGTATCGGAGCTTCTGGACCTGCCCGCTGCAGTCCACGCTCCACGGACCACAGGGAAACCATCCAGGACGCGTAGAGACGACTTTTGGTGAGTGTTTTTCTATATTTGGCTGGAGTTGGTCATGCGCTCCCGTCCCGTGCGTCACTTCATCCATTTGGCACCAGCAGACACTTTGAGAGAAACATTGGAAACACCATTTATATGAAATCATTGTAGGGATTTAGTGCTATATTATTGGCTGCATGTATCAGATAAAAGCAGAAAACGTAATTACATTAATCGTGTTTGATTGAAATCCGTTCTTCTTGTTGTTCATTGCAGTAAACGAATTTTTATGTTTTTATATTATTTTAATCTGTTTTGTTTACAAAGTGTATAGTGCACAAGTTCATCAGTAATATGTGGAAATATTTCTCTCCCGCTACAGATAATCAAATTGTTTATTATTGGTTCTATAGAGATTGAATTCACTGTAACACTGAACAATTATTGTTATCCTTTGAACTGACCTAGTGCCCTATGGCTGATCCCAGTAGAATACTTAAACTACATGTATTAATGTCTATTGTGTGTAATTATATATTAGAATTTCATACTTTTTTATGGATGCCTATATCTAATTTTTTTTTTTAATTTTAATCCAATTTTTTACCAAAGCAAGTTCCTAGTTTGTCAAGACCTGTTTCTTACAATGGCAATAAATAGTATTCTGATTCCTTTTTCTTATTCTGATTAAAGATTGGCATAAATGAGGCGTTGACATTACATCTTGAAGTCCCATTATATGAAACGTTGGATTAATAACGATTCATAAAGAGTTAAAAGTTGGCTGTTAGTTTGAGTAACGATACTTTGAGTAATCTGAGTAAACCTCCCCTGATTGTCCTTTTGCCTCTTCCTGTTTTGGAGCACTCCTGTGTTCTCTGTCCCATCTGTGTGTGGGACCTGCTTCCTGCCCCTGTGAGACCCAAACCTGCTGCTTTTCCTGTGTCATTGTGTGTGTTTGTGTGTCATTGTTGGGCATTCTGTGTCATGTGCGTCATTTACGGTAGCAGCGGCCGAAACACAGGTGCACGGAGAGCCCACATGTTGTACCTAAATGCTGGTATTTACTTTGATATTGTAGGTGTGTGAGATTTATTGAAAAGAAGCCTACTGTACGTAAACAATTGGTTTATATCTGGCTGAGGGGAGGAAATTGTTAGTTTGTTTTGGAATCTACTTTGGAAAATTGTGTGTCCAGATTGTGTGGTGCATTGTCCAGATTGTGTATTGGTTGAGATGCAAGGATGGTTATAGTGATTGGATGCTGTGACAAAACAGGGGAAAAAGTTGCAATAAACTCGGGATTACCACACTTTTTCAGGTATCAGTTAGATACAGATAGATATAAGATATGAAAAACTTTATTTTGACAGTAGTGAGAGCACAGAAGGAGCACACAATATCGGGCATAATGGTTTAAACAGACTTGAAATCAGGATAAGATAAGTAGGTTAGTAGGTTTGTTTTTTTGGTCATACAAATTGTTATTATGGAAGTAGGCTGAAGTATAACTTTTTTTTCCCCTAATCCAATTCATAAAAGTCTCCAAAGTCGCCAGCCTAATTTCTAAGATCAGGAGAAAAAAATAAAAAATATACAGTAGGATGAAAAGGAACAATTATTTATAAGATAAGATAAGACTTTATTGATCTCACACTGGAGAAATGTACATGTCACATTTGGCATGGATAGAGTCACTCAGATTTAGCAAAAGACAGAAGTGTGCAACATGTTTAAGGCTAAAAGTATAGTCTGTGCAAGATATAATTATCTACAATAAAAAGTGTCAATAGCGGTGCAGCTTTTTTCAGTCCTAGTGCATTAGTGACCTAATAATAATAATAAAAATGCTTCGGTTTCGTATAGCGCTTTTTTGGACACTCAAAGACGCTTCACATGTCATTATTTATTCACTCCAAACACGGTGGTGATCAACTACTACTGTAGCCACAGCTGCCCTGGGGCACACTGACAGAAGCGAGGCAACCAGTCTGTGCCATCGGCCCCTCCGACCACCACCAACCATTCACACACACACCAAACTCATTCTAGGCAATGGGGGTGAAGTGTCTTGCCTAAGGACACAACAGCAATTTGGCACTTTACAGCCGCAGCCGCCCCACTGTGGCTGGTGTTCCCAGAGGTTAAGTGTCTTGCCCAAGGACACAACGGCAGCAGACAGTGGGAGTCGATGGTGAAGGTCGGGCTCAAACCCACGACCCTCTGGCTCAAAGGCCAATGCTCTACCAACTGAGCTACTGTCGCCCATAACTTAGTGACTTATTGTACAGTCTGACAGCGGTTGCGATGAAGGCCCTGTGGTAGGATATTCTAGATCTAGAATAATAACCAGAATTGTAGTCATTTTCACTCTGGCGGTAGTT